ATCTACTCCAGGTGATCCTGCTCTGGCAGGGGGGTTGGACTACATGAACCCTAGAGATCCCTTCCAACCCCTTCCACTCTGTGTGAATCCATGTGTGCTTACATGAGTGCACGTGGAAGTGTAGGGGTCGTAATGTGCTTAAAGCAGTTAAATTAATCTCCCCTTGTCTGAAACCCCTGTAATTTAAGTAATTTGTATACAAACATCTTAGGAAAAATTAATCAAGATCTTTGGCATTCTTGTTAGACCTAAAATACATTTTACAGGAATTGTACTATGAACTGCAAATAACATGTTCCATAGGTGTGAATAAATTGGCTTTAGTTACGTACGTTGAATAAATGGTCCCAAGGAGTTCATTTGGTAAATGCCTGCCTTAGGTGTGTTTGGGGACGAGGGGACCAAAAAAAGCCACCAAAAGCTAGGCTTACTATTGATCTCTAAACCAAATCCAAACAATTATATGGCAGCTTTATGTTTATGGTTGAATTCCCTGATAATTCTTACATATTAGGCAAATAAAGTTACTGTGTTAGTTGTTAGGAATTAAAAATATTTAACCCTAAGTCTCCTTCCTGTGGATCAGATTTTAAAGGACCAGCATAATACTGAACTATCTCCAGCCATAATTTCTGTCCTGTTAGTTACTTATGATTGGCACATGAAATCTCGTCTATTTTCATAACAGGAGGAAAAGATAATCATTAGATCAGGCCCAAAGCCTCCCTAAAACTCCTAGCTGGATGACACGCTTGGAGGAGAAGCAGGTTGGCAACTGTAGCAGAGAGGTTTAGCCCCCAGCTCACCAGTGTGTTTCTCAGAGGGAAGAGAGAAGACAGCTGGGCAGAATATGTTGGAGATTACTGAAGAATTTGAGTAAGAATAGAATAAACCCATCCCTGATGGGTGCCTAACTCCAAGTAACTATTTAAATGTGACCAGATCACAGGGCAGGTGGAGGTCTGTGGTGTGAGTTTTGCTCTGTAGTATCCATTGGTTGCTTGGGCAAAGCCCATGATTTTTGACCTGCAAGACAGATGACAGTTCAGCATGCTCTGCATTACCTGTGCAAGTCTCCAAAAACAGCGTTTGCAACCATTTAGGGCAGTGTTCCTGCCCTCCAGCATTTTTCTGTAGCCTTTAGGCATGTAAGTGAGAATTATAAGCTACTTGTGGATTTCTTTTGAAAAGCTAATTAGGAACTTCTGAGTATCTTTATTTCTGAAAATAAGGGTTTATTTGCTTTCCATCTCAGTAGTCAATAACTATTCCTGAAAATGCAGGCTTTTAAACTAGCTGGGATAGATTCTTGTTCACTGAAATGTCCCAGTCTCTTTCGGAGTTCATTAAGCCGTTTGTTTCAGCAGTGTTGGTGTAAGGACCTCCTCAGACTAATTATCAGACTTTCAGAAGAAACACACTGTTCCTTATTTTTTGTACTCTAATTTCCTTGAATTTCGTTGTGTTTGTGCATGATGAAATTAGTAAACAGGGACACCAGTTGTTCTTTGTTACTACTTGATGACAGTAACAACAATATACTACTTCGGATGAGAAAGAGAAAACAGGACCTGTTTTCAGCATGTCCCTGCTGTTGTCCTTAGCTGGCTTCTGTGTTTGGGACCAGGTTTGAAATTAAGTGACCAGACTGATGGAATTTTTATCTTTCTTGTGCCCATTTGTGTCCCTCTGTGATCGGTCTTCACTGTACTGGGTGGGAGGAGTGTTGTTTGTTTGTTTTAATACTGATGCATTTTTATTTCATGGTCATTCTGTGACAACTTCTTTTTCTGGGGCTCAATTCCAATTCTCAGGCATAAGCTGTTATTGTTCTTGAAAAGAAAATTTTGTATTATTTAACTATTTCCTTCTTTTATCTACCACTTCGTGTATCTATTAATGTTGGTTCTTTAATTGTAAATGTCAGACAAAAAGATAGAAATAGAAGCTATTTTTTTTAAGATTTCATCTCAATAGTAATCTGTCTTCCATAAAAACATAGATGCAACTTAAATGGCACAGGTAATTGTTACATTGGGTTTTTTTCTAAATGAGAGTTATGACTCCACATTCACTTTTTTCCCTTTTGTTTACATAAATGAAGTTTACACAAAATGTCTTTCTTATGTAGAATAATCCAGTTGGACACATCTTTACAGCCTGTTGATCAACCTACACAAAAGAGAGAGGGGAAGAAGGGAGAGCTGACAGAAAACTGGCTGGTTTTATACACTTACAAATCCCTGTATCTGTCTTAACAGGTGAAAAACCGTTTGAATGTCCAAACTGCCATGAATGTTTTGCTAGGAATAGCACACTCAAATGTCACCTGACGGCCTGTCAGTCTGGAGCTGGAGCTAAGAAGGGAAGGAAGAAGCTGTACGAGTGTCAGGTGGGTAATGGAAGTAGCAGAGTCTGAGCTTAGATATCTCCTTCCTGTTCTGAGGGAGTGTGGGAGTACTGAGCAGGAAAGGCAACGACAGTGGGTTTATGTCTCCAAGAACTGCTTTTAATGAAATAAATATAAGGATTGCATTCAGCCACGACGTGCAGATAGATTCTTATATCTAAGTAGTTGCATTTAAAATATGGAGCCTTATAATTCTGAAAGTCAGAGAGATTCTTATGGGTAGGTAAGTGTTCATCTGCATTTTACTGATCTTTCTGCTTCCTTTTCAAGGTTCTTGATGCACTGACCTAAGCCCTTCCTGCTTGTGAGCATGCTTCACTGGAGTCCGAAATACAAATTACTATTTTATTTCCTATTTTCTTATTCTTCTGTTTGATACCAAATATATTGACTGTGTCTGGAAAGCCATTCCAATGTATGATGACTATCTGTAATACCTTTTAAGGAAATACAAATGCTGTAGGTGGGTCACTAGAGTACTTGGTCACTATATGTAACTCACATTTGAAAAGCTGTTCAGATAAATCTGAGCTTTTAAAGGCTGATACTGAAAAGCTAGAAAATACAAGAACTGAAGTTGGTTGTAGCATTTTTTTTTTTTTAGCCATTTTGCTGCTCCATAGCTGTGACACTCTCAAATAAGAACACACTTCTTTCTCCCTCTTCTTTCTCCCTCAAGGCTCTCGCCTTCAGTTCACAGAATGGTTGTGGTATGAGGTTAAATTGGGTTGTGTGCTGAAGAAAACTGTTGGATATCAGCTTTATTTGTGCAGAGAGAGTGGTATTATTCGCAGAAAACACTGAATACTGCAGGAGATGAATTAATTTTGTGTTGCTAATCAAATAGCTTAATCAGAAGTTTCACTGATGCTGTTGCATCATTTAGTTGTCATACTAGTCTGAAGTTAATCCATGGGAGACCTTTGTCTTACAGATACATTTGTTCTGAATGTGAGAATTACTGTATAACAAGAAGTTGTACTTAGGGCTTCATTAAACATACTGTTTGTCTTTGTGACCCTTTGGTCTAATCGCTTTGAGTCATCGCTTTCTCTTCCTAAACTGACACTGCATCCTCTCACAGATCTTGCGAATGTGGATTAGTGTTTCTGTAGCCCACAGAAACTACAGCAATTCTTGGATAAATTTTTCTTGATGCTTTTTTCTCGCTTTAGAACTCAACTTGAATATTGTTCAATAAGTAAATCTTGGCTTACTGAACAAAGAGGAGAAAACAAAATTGTGCTTGCTTGACAAGCACTTTTGGTGCTCTTCAGTGTATGTCTTGAGTACTGAATTAGTCTCCATGTGCAAGAACAACAATTGTGTGCTTGGGCATTACCAATAGTCATTACCTTTACATATGACCAAGTAATTTGGAGTGCTTATCTATAAGGTTAGTGTTTTAAGAAGTGTATGTGCAACTTCTTTCTAAAGCATGAGCTGCAAGGGCGGAGAAGAAAGCATGACACTAGCATCCCAAACCCATTTTGACAGACTTCAGCAGTAAAACAGAGATGTTTAGCTCCACTACATAGACCTGTTCTTGAGTTAATCCCTGTAAGATACTCCATCATCCTTCTGTGCTGAAAATTATGAGGAGTTGGAACGTTCTATTTCAGAACTGTTTTCCAGCAATGAAGGAGTTGTGTTCTCCTGGATGAGGTCTGAAATCATTTTGCATATCTCACAGCTCACTTGGGGCTAAGTTGGTTACCACCGCCTTGTTTATGAGTTCTTCCTCTTCCTCCTCCCCAAGCAGTGGCTGTCTCTCCTCCCTCCTCTATTCTCCTGTGTGGCTCCTCCATCTCTTCCTCCTGCTCCCTCTTAGAAGAAGCTTCTTCATCCCTTATTGAGGGAGCTGACTTCTGTTTCCAAGATTTCTTCTTTTGTATAGGGGCAACTGATGCAGGCACGGGTTGATCCTTTTGTTCTGCCACAGTGCCTGTCATGGGGGTTGGAGTAGCTGCAGTGCCTGTTGTGTTGGCACCAGATCCAGAGACCCTCAACCAGCAACCAAGCATGACGTTTTATGAAATGAAAAATGAAAGCATGAACTGTCCCTTTGGTCAGTTTGGTCCTGCCTGACCAGGGAGCTGTCCTGGGAGCTGTCCCTTCCCAGCTGCTTGAAGAGAAAAAACTGTGAGCACAGGGACAGTATCAGAAACTGGAAAAGTCCTTCAGTTGATGTAACCTTTGCTCAGTGACAACTGAAAACACTGGTATGTTATCAATATTGTTCTCAGCACAACCAAAACACAGCCTGATAGGTGCTACAGTGAGGAAAATTGTCTATCCCATCTAAAACCAGCACAGGATGTTGAAACTGTTGCCGCAGTGCCTGTTGTGTTGTCATCAGACTCAGAGACCCTCTCTTGCCTTTGAGGGTGCACTGAACAAGGCTTGGTAAGCATGGGCCAGACCCCAGCACACTGAAATGATCTGTGTCTACTTGGAACTGCCAGGGCGACAGCAGTTCATCCAAATATTCATGGACAAAGACTCCTGACCCTGCTTATTTACTCTGAGCCTGACTCTGCTTGACTCTCCTCTCTCTCCTACCCTGGCACCTCATTCATTTGCGCAGTCTTGTGTGTTGTCTTCAGGCTACTTGCCTCAGTGCCTGCTGAAGGGAAGAGGAAGCCTGCTCAAGTGCTTTGTGAAAATAGTGTGTCTGCAGTGCAGGAGTACTTTCAGGTGGAAGAGAATTAAAGAGATGGAGTTTTATCTGCTGAACTTGCTCAAGCGGGTTGTTTTGGGTTTTGGGTTTGGTTTGGTTTTTTTTTTTTTAATGGCAGAATGGGAGAGTTCAGTGTAGCCAGTTAAACCTTAGAATGCTGTGAGCAAATGCAAGCTGCTAAGTGGGCCAGTAGTACTACATCTAGAACGTCAGTAAAAGGACAGTTTGTATTACACTTTCATTGTACAGTATTATCACATAAATAGCTTTCACCTAAAACTCTAGCATGAGACATTTATTGAGGCGTGATACTGTATCCAAATTTTATTTAAAGTTAAAATAAGACTTTCAAATGCTGTCCTGACTCATAAATCTTGTAGGTATCTGGTGTACGCATAACTCGGAGTAACACAGTGTTTCTTAGAAAGAAATAGATAAATATCTGTTCTTCTGTTCATCTGAAGCTGACTTCTCAGCTTTTACCTCTAATGTTTGTGTCTTTTTAATCCAAGTCTCAAGAAGGTACACAATGTGAAGCCATGATTTGAAATAGGCACTGTGCTTTGTCAAATTTCTGTTGGCACTGTTTAACATACTGTACCTTTTGTTTCAGGTTTGTAACAGCGTGTTTAACAGCTGGGATCAATTCAAAGATCACTTGGTAATACACACTGGTGACAAACCCAACCACTGTACCTTATGTGATCTGTGGTTTATGCAAGGCAGCGAGCTGAGAAGGCATCTCAAAGACATACACAATATTTCAGAACGTCTAGTGACCGAAGATGTTCTTCCAGTGGAAGCTGAACCAGTAACATCAATGACTATAATAGAACAAGTGGAACAAGTCCACGTCCTACCAGTAATTCAGGTACAGGTGGATCCTGCACAGGTGGCTGTGGAACAGGTGCACCCGGATCTCATACAGGACGGTCAAGTGAAAGGCACGCAGATAGATGAACTGCAAGAGCAGGTGCAAATTAGTTACTTGGAGGTTGAACACATTCAGACCGAACAAGGTGCTGAAGTTCACGTGGAGCAGTTACAAGTTGAGCACGTAAATCAAATACAGATGGAAGAAGTCCAGGCAGAACTCATAGACGGAACAGACCTTGAACAAGTAGAATATGAAAATGTCGATCAAGGAGAAGCAGAAGGAAAGGAACCTAATCAAGTAGATGATGCAGGTAAGGAATATCATGAACAAGCTGAAGACTTAAAACCACAAGAATCGGTGGACACTCAGGATAAAAAGATGGATGACTAGGACAACTAACGACACTGTGCAGGTTTAGGAATGAAATACCAAATTATTTTTATTAATTTTACATTGGTTTTTGAACTGTCATTTGTCACCTTTCCAGTATGCTGTCCTTAGGAAGCTGGGCAAATGGACCAAAATGAGCTTTCTTCATGTACAACTAAACTTCTCTCATATGAAAAATAACTTTCTCATTCATGTAATACCATGAAACAGAAACTACCACGGACGTGGACAGCTTTGTGGGGATTTTAATAATACATAGCTTGTATCATTGTCACACCTTCCCTGCATATACGTAAGAGTAACTTCACCTCTCTTCCTCTTGCAGTAGAAGCCAACTCTTGTTACAGATTTGCAGGGTGTCTGTGGCAGAAGAATTGGTAAGATCTAGTGGGCTCTATTGTAAGGGGCAATAGGGTACCTGTGAATTTTCAGATCAGTCTGTTTGCTGTATCTTAACAGCAGTCCGTAACTTTCAGGCTGGAGAAAAAACCATTGTTGCTGGAGGTCTCTGAGCACAAAACTCCTGTGCCTTTCCAGCACTGACTGGTTAAATTTTCACAAAGTTCCTAGAGTGTTCAAGAACCTAGTTCAGTAAAAGTCAATGTAGGTAATGTTACAGTGCTTTATATTTTTGCTTAAAATTGTCATCTACTTTTTTTTTTTTGCATTAAATTTAGAAGCGGGAAGCTGAGGGAGGAAATGGATTCCATGTGGAGGCAAGAGGACACTGTAAAAAAGGAAAATCACAGTAGAATATGTGGTAAATATGACCTGGAAGAAAGCTACCAGCAGACTCTTATAAGTCATGATTTTTTAAAATCAATATATTTAAACATAAATATAGAAGCAGCTTGTCTATATGGTACCAGCTTCCCTGGTTTTTTGAAATGAAAGTCTGACACTTGACACAGAGATGTGCTAGTAAAAGCCATAAGTATGAGTGCTAAACTGTAGACTGAAAAGCAGGAGTGTAAATAATTTAGTCAATATTAGACAATAAACCAATACCAGGCGTGAAATGTTGCATTATTTGTTTCATCCAGTAGATTAGGAACAACTGAGTGACTGGCAATTACAGTGCCAGCTCCCAGTGTTAAGACTCAATCACATCTTTAAGGGGATTTACTGTAAAGTTATATTTGTGTAGAAAATAATTTACTATATGTCAAGGATGATAAGGACTTCTAATTCTCAATTACTGCATTGAGGTTAGAGGTGCTTCACACTTGTGAAAAACATTATTTTCAAAGCCTTAACTGAAGGGAGGAATTTTTGCACGGACGATTCCCAATGCACTTGGTAGTCCTGTAGAACTTAGTTAAAGTCAGGTTTTTCTGTTAAGGTTTCTGCAAATGCAGAATCATTTCTGGGGATTTGTGCTTTTGTTTAGTGTCATTCAAAATGATTCTTGTGTTTCCTTGTAGCCTTTGAGCAACTTGCAAAACAAACATAGAACTCGATTAAAACTTCAAAACATCTGATTACTGTAACTTGCATTCTTTTTTGTGATGTTTTGTGTTTTCAGAGATGGAAGTAATGTGTGGTGGGATTCAATGCAGAGGGAAGAATGTGGCTGAATGTTGACCACGAAAGTAAAAGTTGGCTGTTGTATTTATACCTGGCTTCTGGTAAGAAGCTCATCTTTTGATGACACGGAGGGGACAGGTGTGCTTGCTCTGCTGCATTACCCTGAGTATGGAGGGGTTTTAGGTGTTGGTGCATATAGACACGAGGTCTGTGTCTGTGGAATTAAAGGAATGACCTGTCTGTGCGTCTAACCAATGAAACCAACTCCTGGGTGACCCTAGTCCAGTGTAAATGGAGCAGTTGCATGGTGTTAGACGCAGGGCTGTGGATTGATAAGCACAGCTGGGCTATTTCTTTTTTCTGTTTGATCTTCCCTTTTCAGCAACAGTTCCCGAATTTGGTGGGATGCTCTGTTGTTGCACCCAGGGCTGCCCCATCCAGACTCTCACTGGGCATGGGTGGGAGCATGTTGGGACCCTGAGCAATCCCCTCCTCACTCTGAAGGGCCGGCCGAAAGGCTTTCCTCAGTTACTAACCACGGGAGAGCCTTTCCCGTTCCAACCCCCTCTTCCGCATCATTGCCTTCCCAAATGTGTGAAGCCCAAACGGCTCCCACAGTGGAGTCCCTCATGGTTCCTTGCTGCAGCAGTGATAACTGAGGGAGGAGACGGACGTTCTGGGTGCCCTTTGTAATGGCCACCTTGCTGTCCTCTCTCTGCCCCTCTGAACTCCGTATGACCTACGCACCACTGGAGTTCTTCCCTCCAGATACAGACGTACTGGGGGTCCCCAGCGCGCCCTGTGTTACGCACGTACAGGTCTGTAGCTTGCACTGGGGGCAGCATGCAGGGCAAGCGCCTGAGTTTATGCCAAATGACACTAATTAGCTGAAGCAGCGGGGTCTAGGCAGTAAGAAATGGGAAAGTGGGAATGAACAAAAACCCATGAGGTGTGTCTGGATATGAGATTAAACTGAGCATCAAGTTGAGGCCAAGATCAGAAAATGAACTCTTCTAGAGGTCGTATAAATTTATAAAATCACCTAGATTTATAGGTGATGTTCATGAGAGGCAATGACACTAATTAGCTGAAGCAGCGGGGTCTAGGCAGTAAGAAATGGGAAAGTGGGAATGAACAAAAACCCATGAGGTGTGTCTGGATATGAGATTAAACTGAGCATCAAGTTGAGGCCAAGATCAGAAAATGAACTCTTCTAGAGGTCGTATAAATTTATAAAATCACCTAGATTTATAGGTGATGTTCATGAGAGGCC